TTCAGTCCATTAAAACGAAGTGAACTTGTCGGTAGAGCTTCTCTACTTTTGCTGTACACAGGCGTGCGCTTGTTTATAACTATTTCAGGGTCGTCCACCATCGAACAGAGAAGTGTTTGGTGGTCTCCTTTCATAGGCGCGATGTTTATGTCTCTAGTCGCTCGGAACTGACCGCAATTGTTCAAATGCTCGTTCTACAGTCGAAAATAATTCCAAATGAATCTACGAAAAACGACAAGTATAGCGTAAAATGTGCTTAAATACAGCGCATTAACGAAAGGCAAGAACATGTTTACTACTTGAGCTACCCACATGAACCTGATAGTGTCACTGATACCAAAGTAAAAAAAAATGAATGTTTAGGGTTGACCATTTCTTCTCGTAGGCATGGGGCGTCTTTGTTCGAACAAGAAAAAAGGCGCCAGTCTATTTTCAGATCCCAATACAACGAATAAACAGTCGAAGTGAAAAACGTAAGCAGACATCCATGCTATACTATGATGGCTTTACATTTATCGATCTGAGAAATTTGTAAGTCATTTTAAAATCGAAGTTTTTCAGTGACTCAAAGTAAGCAGTTTTGTCTAGTTCTAAAGAATCATTCAATTCGTGCTTGCAGCGTTTAACTTTCGCCAGAATAATTCTGTTTCGATGCCGTCTGAAGACGATTTTCAGCATTTATTGTGTGATGACATCCCATGGGAGACTTTAGACCGACGAATTGTCTTTTTTGGAATATATTTGTAAACGGCTTGATAATACAACCCATAGACATTTCAAGCAATATAATTGCATCAATTACGTAGAGGCAAAGCGGAGCTTCGCATCATTTGCGATACTACGCAAACACATCATTGCGAGCCAGCGAATAGAAAATAAGATAGAAGTAAAAAAAAAAGCGAAAAAAAAACTAGAGGAAGCACGGACTTCGTAGTATCAATTATGGTCACATCTGCGTAAAAAAATTCGGCCATTGCTCTTTGAATTTTATCTGATTTGAAGCAAATTAATCAAATGACTGAGACTTCAAAATGCAACAACAAACCTTTTAAAAACTCTTTACTTATCACATTTTTATCAGACTTATTTTGATCAACTCGTCTTTTCAGTCCATTGAAACGAAGTGAACTTGTCGGTAGAGCTTCTCTACTTTTGCTGTACACAGGCGCGCGCTTGTTTGTAACTCTTTCAGGGCCGTCCATCATCGAACAGAGAAGTCTTTGGTGGTCTTCTTCCATAGGCGCGATGCCTATGTCTCTAGTCGCTCGGAACTGACCGCAATTGTTCAAATGCTCGTTCTCCAGTCGAAAATAATTCCAGATAAATCGACGAAAAACGGCAAATATAGCGTAAAATGTGCTTAAATACAGCGAATTAACGAAAGGCAAGAGCATGTTTACTACTTGAGTTACCCACATGAACCTGATAGTGAAGTTAGTACTGATACCAAAGTAATAAAATGAACGTTTAGGGTAGACCATTTCTTCTCGTAGGCAAGGGGCGTCTTTGTTCGAACAAGAAAAAAGGCACCAGTGTATTTTCAGATGCCAATACAACGAATAAACAGTCGAAGTGAAAAACGTAAGCAGACATCCATGCTATACTATGATGACTTTCCATTTATCGATCTGAGAAATTTGTAAGTCATTTTAAAATCGAAGTCTTTCAGTGACTCAAACTAAACAGTTTTGTCTAGTTCTAAAGAATCATTCAATTCGTGCTTGCAGCGTTTAACTTTCGCCAGAACAATTCTGTTTCAATGCCGTCTGAAGACGAGTTTCAGCATTTATTGTGTGATGACATCCCATGGGATACTTTAGACCGACGAATTGTCTTTTTTGGAATATATTTGTAAACGGCTTGATAATACAACCCATAGACATTTCAAGCAATCTAATTGCATGGAATACGTAGAGGCAAAGCGAAGCTTCGCATCATTTGCGATACCACGCAAACACATCATTGCGAGCCAGCGAATAGAAAATAAGATAGAAGTAAAAAAGCAAAAAAAAACTAGAGGAAGCACGGACTTCGTAGTATCAATTATGGTCACACCTGCGTAAAAAAATTCGGCCATTGCTCTTTGAAAATGATCTGATTTGAAGCAAATTAATCAAATGACTGAGATTTCAAAATGGGACAACAAACCTTTTCAAAACTCTTTACTTATCACATTTTTATCAGACTTATTTTTATCAACTCGTCTTTTCAGTCCATTGAAACGAAGTGAACTTGTCGGTAGAGCTTCTCTACTTTTGCTGTACACAGGCGTGCGCTTGTTTATAACTATTTCAGGGTCGTCCATCATCGAACAGAGAAGTGTTTGGTGGTCTTGTTCCATAGGCGCGATGCTTATGTCTCTAGTCGCTCGGAACTGACCGCATTTGTTCAAATGCTCGTTCTCCAGTCCAAAATAATTGGAATAAATCTACGAAAAACGACAAATATAGCGTAAAATGTGCTTAAATATAGCAAATTAACGAAAGGCAAGAACATGTTTACTACTTGAGTTACCCACATGAACCTGATAGTGAAGTTAGTAATGATAGCAAAGTAATAAAATGAACGTTTAGGGTAGACCATTTCTTCTCGTAGGCAAGGGGCGTCTTTGTTCGAACAAGAAAAAAGGCCCCAGTCCATTTTCAGATCCCAATACAACGAATAAACAGTCGAAGTGAGCCTTGCAAAAACGTAAGCAGACATCCATGCTATAGTATGATGGCTTTCCATTTATCGATCTGAGAAATTTGTAAGTCATTTTAAAATCGAAGTCTTTCAGTGACTCAAAGTAAACAGTTTTGTCTAGTTCTAAAGAATCATTCAATTCGTGCTTGCAGCGTTTAACTTTCGCCAGAACAATTCAGTTTCAATGCCGTCTGAAGACGATTTTCAGCATTTATTGTGTGATGACATCCATGGGAGACTTTAGAGCGACGAAATGTCTTTTTTGGAATATATTTATAAGCGGCTCGATAATACAAACCATAGAACATTTCAAGCAATCTATTTGCATCAAATACGTAGAGGCAAAGCGGAGCTTCGCATCATTTGCGATACAACGCAAACACATCATTGCGAGCCAGCGATTAGAAATCAATACAGAAGTAATAAAAGCGAAAAAAAAACTAGATGAAGCACGGACTTCGTAGTATCAAGTATGGTCACATATGCGTAAAAAATTCGGCCATTGCTCTTTGAATTTGATCTGATTTGAAGCAATTAATCAAATGACTGAGAATTCAAAACGGGACATCAAACCTTTTGAAAACTCATAACTTATCAGAAACATACAAAATAGTTCCAGAGGGATATCCCTTCCTTACAAATAACTTCAGGTATTACAGATGTCGGGGCTAGAAAGAAATAGTATTTCAATATATTGGCAACGAATACAATTATTTATTTTTGTCAGAGAAAATGAAATATATTTATTTTGTTAGTACAATTATTGTTCAAGGACAGAAATTTGGATCATGAACAAGATTGTCAATAAAAGATTCTCCAATTATTACTTTTGTCGAAGAAATACAAAAAAGATATTTAATAAATTGATTTTACCGACGAAATTAAAAAATTTGTTTTTCTTTAAAAAAAATACATTTGAATTTATATTTTTTACAACCCTGAAGTGCTTTGTAAACGGACTCGATTATTCTGTCAATGATTAAGTCACTACAGTGTAGGTCTGCTTTGTTCTTGCATTTCTCTTTTAAAACAGAAGTCTAATCATTTATTTTGATATCCAGCTCAAATTGCACAATAAGAATGATTGCTATTTTCTTCTTGCCAGAAGAAACCAATTAAAGACGAAGAGCTTATTTTTACAGGCATTATTTTTACAGGCACTCTACTCAACCTCAACGCTGGAAAAATATCAAATTGAAACGAAGATAGCCGGTTACTGCGCAAGTAGCACGGAATGTTCCGACCACCGTTAAAAAAACACGTTTTTATGAGATATAGAAATAAACCAAAAAAATTGGAACAGGGCAAATAAGGCAATCATAATCAAATACGCCAATTTTAGAACAGTTTTTGTAGAAAAAAGGCTAGAAAAACAAAAAAAATCGTATGAATAAAATAATTTTGAAAATCTTCAAAAATTTCTTCTGATTTTTTTTGCAGAAACTTTTGATTCTCAAAATGGCGCTTAAAGTCTCCACAAACTATCTTTAATCGAGTTTTGAAAAAATTCACGGCTTAATAAGAGCTTAAATAAGCTATTTTAAGACTCCGCGTTCACTTTATTAGCTCGAAATTAGACCGAAAAGCAATCAAAAATTTTAAACTACTTTTGCTTGACACTGAAAAATTATTTTCAAATTTTTTAATGTCGTTCTAATTACCACTGAAAAAGCGTTATTATGATATATAACTCAACTTGTTTTGATGATTATTCTTGACAACTGAGGAAAACAATAAGAAATACAAGGTGGAAAACAATAAGAAATAAAAATAAAACACACCCGAATACAAAGTTCCTCCACATTTATCAAATGGTCGGAACAACAACACTATATTTTGATAGTATCTGGACCATATTATTAAGTTGACTTGCTTGAGTAATTGCCTTAAAGTTTTACACAGAGGCGAAGCTGCGCTTCGCAAACACTTGCGAGAACACGACCAAAAAGCAGCTCTATCAAGTGACACAAGAAAAATTAGAAATAAGCCTCGAATTTGCAAAAACTCCAATTAGCAAAAATCTGCGATCTAGCAAACTTGAGTCTCACGCACTAACCATTCAGCCAGGGATGCTTCAAATCCCCCAAAAACTAGCCAAGAATAACGCAGCGACATATGCTAATAAATTGCCAATTCAATGCAGCAAAAGTAGCGCCAAATACAAAAACATACAAAGTTGCATGTTATAAATCGCAAATCATAAGGTCACATTATGTATAAATGATGCATTTCAAAAAATTGCGAGATAATTGAGTCTAAAAAATCTGAAATCGAGGTTTTAATATTGTTATGTTGTTTGAAACAAATAGCTTTCTTCGGTTCACTAGATGAATTAAAAATGCATCAACTGCGTAAACTTATAACTATTCAAATGTCAAAGCACATGTTATCAATCAGCTGTAAAGGTGCAACAAACTTCCAATCAATTGTTATTGCCAATTCAATGCAGCAAATATTCTTGCTTTAAGTCGCAGCAATATTTGCGACTTAGTCGCAGCAAAAGTCGCAACAATATTTGCCACTTAGGTTGGAAAAAAAGAGAGCTCGTCCTATAACACTTTGCTTCGCAAGTCTAAATATCCCATCACTTCAGAAAATTCAGCGTATATCCCAAGATTTCTTGCACCACTGCACGATTGCATTTCCTTTCAATTGATCGCTTATTAGTTTTGACCCAACTTTTTCAAAAATTCGAATCGTTTCGTTTAACTTTCATTCCTTTCAGCTTTTCATCCATTTCAAGGGTTCACTCGCAACGCTATACTTGGGATTGCGCAGTATCGTCACTAATCATGTTTGATCTCGAAGCAGACTTATTTTTATCAACTCGTCTTTTCAGTCCATTGAAACGAAGTGAACTTGTCGGCAGAGCTTCTCTACTTTTGCTGTACACAGGCGTGCGCTTGTTTATAACTATTTCAGGGTCGTCCATCATCGAACAGAGAAGTGTTTGGTGGTCTTCTTCCATAGGCGCAATGCTTATGTCTCTAGTCGCTCGGAACTGACCGCAATTGTTCAAATGCTCGTTCTCCAGTCGAAAATAATTCCAGATAAATCGACGAAAAACGACAAATATAGCGTAAAATGTGCTTAAATACAGCGAATTAACGAAAGGCAAGAGCATGTTTACTACTTGAGTTACCCACATGAACCTGATAGTGAAGTTCGTAATGATACCAAAGTAATAAAATGAACGTTTAGGGTAGACCATTTCTTCTCGAAGGCAAGGGGCGTCTTTGTTCGAACAAGAAAAAAGGCCCCAGTCCATTTTCAGATCCCAATACAACGAATAAACAGTCGAAGTGAGCCTTGCAAAAACGTAAGCAGACATCCATGCTATACTATGATGGCCGAACTGATCGTAGTAAAGTTTAACTCCAGTATATAGACCGATATAAACTAGTCGCACTGCATATTTACCCGAATTAACTATATGAGGAAAACACTTCTTAGTCGACTGGTACCTTCTAAGACACTGAGCGAACCGAAACCAGGCTGGCAACATACTAAGCACTGTCCGCAACCCGTACGAGTCAGAATTGCACACGTGATTTTCGTAACCATCCGAATAACCGTCACTTTTCCAATCAAGCTCAAATGCGTAAAAACAAACAAAGTATTCAAAATCGAGAATCACTTTCCGTAAACTGTTCAATTGATCTGCGAGCCAAAAGTCCGGGAAAGTGACAAAGAAATAAGGAGCTGTTATGACTCGAAAAAGGTACTTGAGCAGCCAAAATCGAGCCGATTTTTTAAATATAGGCACTGGAAAAAATAAAATCAACACAAATAAACAGACACAAACGAAAGGACTTATGTAAGCTTTGATTCCAATAATGGGCGAAAACAATAATATCAAAACACTACAACACCACAGAGTTCCGAGAACGAACGATACTTCAAGAAGATCCTCAAACGTGATGTGACTTCTAGGATCCAGCCCAAAGATTAACACGTGATTGACGCCATATTTACTCCACCCATACAGATTCGCCCCCAGAAGTCCAACGAACAAAACAACTAAAAACAATCCTCTGTAAATTGTAATATATGCCTCAATGTACCCTTGGTCGAACCAGCGAGTAAGATAGTTTGATGACAAGATAATCGCAATGGATAATGTAATGAAGGTGCCAAGAAATAAACCAACAAAGAAAAACTTTTCAGGAACTTGTTTTTCGGTTAGAGGAGGCACTCTTAATCTTTTCATTGCGCGAGTTCGATCCCCGCCCTCTAACTCAACAATATAAGTTTCTTCGCAATCTCGAATCAGCCGTTCAATTTGTTTATTTGTACTGAACGGAGCGGTTTCAACTTCATTAAGTCGAAACTCAGCGCCGCTTTGGGTCTCGCAAATTTTGTCATGTTTCTTAAGGATTTTACGAAAGCCAGTAAAATTCAACGACTGGTAGTTTTGCAGTAAAATTAGACTTAGATACAACTCACTATAGGCTACTTTTAAATCGGATATTTTCGGCCGAGTATCTTTCGATTTAGCTGGCTGTAGTTTCGTACTGATACGTGATGTCTTTTCACTCGTGATTTCCCTGTGATTTTTCGCCAGTCTTAGTTCAATATGAAGCGCTGCCGATTTCCGATGCGCTTCCGCTAATTTTTCGGCAAAAAACATGTTGATTTTGTTCAGCTCCTGTTCACATTTGGAGAAAAACTTCTGATCAAATTTGGCGTAGTATTTTTTCAGAGTCTCTTCATCTGATATGTCACTAGGGGGCGCATTTTCTTGAGCCTCATAAAGCATGTCTTTTAAATCCTCATAAGCCACGTACTGAGTTCTCCACTCTGGTGTTAAATGGTCGTTCAAATGGGCCGCAAACTTCATCACTTACCTTCAAGTAGACCAGCTAGTAGGCTCAATTGAATAACAGGAAAATTAAAAATCCAACACGTGCGTTATAAAAAATCTTTAATTTAAGCTTTCGACAATTAAAAAGTTCAACGTTTTCCCGCAAACGTCGATTTTGACCATTATTTATTAAGGATTGTATTTATGTTGCTTAACTAAACGGTTAAATGATTAAGTATACAGTTGCATTTTCGGTTATTAGGCTCGTCTCCAGTTTCCCGCACAAATTGATCCTCATTTTCGAGCCGCATTTTCTTTTTAGCAGAAGTGGTACCAATCAGTTCGTGGAAAAAGAGCCCCTCCCCTCCCCCCCCCCCTCCACTTGCAAATTTGGCTCTTTTTCCTTTTTCCCCTCACCTCACTCAAACGCAATTTTTTCATCAGATTTTTCCAAAAAGTGTCCAAACCAAAAACGCCTTTTTTGTCCTGTTTTTTTTTTCATTTGCCTGCGGAGCAAAAAATTTGGTGGAAATAAGGTCTTTATAGATTTGAGAGAGCTCAGAAAATCAATTTGATCGAATCGAACATAGAAAAGAGGTCAAAAAAACTTTTGAAATTGTTTAAAATCATCACCAGCACATTTTATAATTGCATGTTTTTAGATTTAAAAAATAACCAACTGGAGCAATTGCTTACTTTCATCCGCTGAGAAACCTAAAGATTATTCTAACTAAAGGCTACGTTTCTTCGAGCAGTTTGAACATTTTTTTAACTTGACATTTTTTTAAATTAGAACGCGTAATTTGCCTTCCCTTAAACAAATTAAATTAAAATTAAATTTAAATACAGAGGTGAATAGGAGCTTCCAATATTTGCAAAACCGTTGAAATTTAGCATTGGAAGCTAGCGGGAAAAAAATCAGATGAATTCATTGAAATGATTAAAAAAAACAGTACAAAAAATGTCAAAAAAATTACATCTACAAAAATTTCGCATATTTGTTTGTCTCGAATAATAATCAATTTGAGGAAAAATGTGAAAATAAACAAAGACTGGAGTTGAATACGCGCTCAAGGGTTTGACGCCAGTTGAACTGCAGACAACTGTTACATAGACGCGTAGCTGAGCATCGCACCACTTGCGATACAATATAAAAAGTTCGAAAATAATGTGTCTCAAATGAAAAGTGAAAAATTTAGACGAACCCTATTGAAATCGTAAGCTAAAAGCACAAGAAAATTATTGCAAATTTTATAAAATCAATTAGGAAAAGCATCAGTAAGATTCGGGATACACACTCAATTAATTTCTTTCTCATAAGCATAAAGCATAAATAGAAACGATAAGAAAAAATTTCCAACAATTCCTGAATGTACTCAAAAACTTGAAATCCAACAACCTGCATGTACTACAGGAACACTTCCGAAAAAGAAAGAGTTCTATCTATTGCTTGCTTCAAACTAAAACCAAAATGAAACAAAAAATATCAAAATAAATTTTTGATATGAACGCAAAAGTTTCAAACAATAGCCACAAAAAAAAACTTGCAGAAAACACAACAAAAAATTGAAAGCCTATAAAAATAACCCAATTACATCAAAATTATCAAATAAGAAGTTAATACGCAACAATCAGCGAGCTGGATCACGACAAAAAGAATATTGCAAAAAAAATGACGCCCGTTGAAGAAATAAAAAAACACAAAAACTGCCAAACCTCGTGCGACACTCGTCACAGTCATCCGTAGACAGGTCAAAACATTCAAGTCAAAACTGAAATCCAAGAAAAATTGAACATTTGATTTTAAAAAAGTTCGAGCAGAAATTTTTTTTTTCAAAAAAGAAAGTTTTGGCGTAAAAAAAAACCAGAAACCATAAGTATTATTACTGTCTTTAAAATGAAGGAAAAAATTAAACCAAAAAAGTAACCGAAAAAAAGTTGGGAAGAAAGCCGACAAAATTTAAGGGGGACGACAAAAAAATCTATTAACATCTACAAAAATTTCCAGCTGTAGACACAGTATCACTTCATTAGCTCTAGACCCAGAACTTAAATTGAGATCTTAAAATTCGAAACACTGTGAGCAAAGTTATTTACTGAAAAACGTCTAGAACATGATTGCAATACCCTAGCTTATTGCAAAGGTAAACACAAAGAACTTTGAGCTATAATTTTGAGAAAATCCCCACTCGCAAACCACCAAGGGATAACTTTTTTCAAAAATGCAATATAAAACTACTAAGCGATATCATGTAAAAACAAATCTATGATGTTACTATATTATACAACCATCCCGTAAATTTTATCATAATGGATGCTTTAATTTTGTAGAATTGTAATCGGAAAGACTAAGATTTCGGGCGGTTTAAACTGAATCGACAAACATCAGCAGAAAAACGATAGGCCGACAATTTTGTTCACAAACGGAAAATTTTTTTAGTTTGAACTTGAAAAAAAACTGGTCGGAGTGGAACTTAGAAAAAAACCTGGTCCCAGACAGACTTTATCGCGAGACCAAAAGTGACGACTAGTTAGCATTCAAAATTATGTAATTTAATAATAACACGATTTGATACCGCTTGCTAATTAATCACGCGCGTAAGGAAATCAAAAGACAAAAAGTAAATTTGAGCTTGAAAAAATTTGCACTTTGAGAAAATCAACACAACCTATAACAATGTTCATTTAGCAACCAAAGTTCACTTGTGTATCAGTACGTTCATTAAACTCGCACTCTTGACTTCAAAAAAATGTGATCTCCTGAAGACTAGCACGCAAACAACAGACAATTGGGTACAAGTTATTGAACTCAATGAAACCGAAAAAAAAAGATTATTTTAACAATTTTTAACCTGCGAAATTGAAGTCCATTTTGGAAATTTAAAGCCATTTAGTTTCCTCGCTAAAAATAGTTTGAATTTAAAATGCAATTTTCTTCAGTATAGCCATCCAAACACAACAATTAAACGACAATTTATATAAATTTAAGACCATTAATCTAAGAGGGAAAAACCGCTTTTGTGCCTCGGGTTGAAATTATATGCATTGATTTATTTTTTTTCTGGGCTTCGCAATCTTGTCTCACCCGCAAGCAAGGAACATAAATCTTTGAGGGCTTCGAAGTATCGAATTGTTCATTGAGTCTCGTCTTCAAATGAAGAGCAATGATAATGGTGTGATTTGAACCGCAAATTGAGAGGCATATACTTAGCCACTCACTCAAACTCACCCATATAAATTTAAAACTCAATAATTTGACAATGAAGCGAAGTTGCATTTCGTAAACAACAGCAAAAATCGGCAAAAGCGAGATGTTAAATGCAACCAAAAACAAAATAAGGAAAGAAAATAAGTTTGGAAAAACAAAAAGAATTAGCCAACTTTATGATTCGAACCACCTCTAGAATACAAGTTATTTTTTTTTCACCACTGCATAAAATCAATAAATAGCATAGCGCCTTCTAGACTGAGTGCTCCTTACAGAAAGAGCTGCTTCAAAAATTTTCTGCTTTTAAAAACTGGACTCGCTCTACTAATAAGACCAAAACGTTCTTTCAGAGAGTTAATATTTTCAATTTACAATAGCGTTCTCATAAATTATTATCATTTATCAGAAATAAGATCCCAACATCACAGCAGTAAAAATTGCAACCGCTACTTTAGTATTGTCAACAAATTTTTTCATACAGTCATCAGCATTGTCAGGTTTCAAAGTTTGGACTTGATTCAACATGAACAAAGATGCCACTCCGACTCCGAAGTAATAACAACCTCCCATCTCCGCCAGTTTTCCGGACAAAAATAACCCAGTTGAAGTCGCTGCTGCGAATCCTAGCAGATACTTATCAACATGTGGCCCAAATTTGAGAGCGGTCGATTTCACTCCGATCAACATGTCATCTTTTTTGTCCTGAAGAGCATAAATTGTGTCGTAAAATACGGTCCATGAAGCCATAGAAGCATACATCGCACAAGCTGGCAAACTCAACGCACCAGTTGTGGCTGTAACGCCCATTAGCAGTCCATAATTCATACACAGACCGAGGAAAGCTTGAGGGTAATAAGTGATTCTTTTCATATAAGGATAAGTGCCTACTAAAGGTAACGCCAGTAGGCCTAATCCAACAGTTGCGTTATTGAGGCTGAGCAAAATAGCTAAAGCTGCTGCGCTTTGTAATCCACCAGAAATAACAGCATGTTTGATAGTCAAATCGCCAGAAGCTAGAGGTCGCGACATCGTCCTCTGGACATTTTTGTCCAACTCGCTGTCCCAAATATCATTGATAGTACACCCGATACTCCTCATAAGAATAGCACCCATACAGAACTTAGCCGATATTACTAATCCCGGAATACCCCCGGATCCTAAAGCCAGCCCAGTGAGACCAGGCCAAAGCAGAAGCCAGTAACCTACTGGTTTGTCTACTCTGGCTAGTTTCAAGTACGGTTGAATATAAGTCGGAGCATTTTGGACTAATTTTTCCCCGGCAGTGCTCGTAGAATCAACTCCATGGTCCTTCAAAATCTTCGCATACGATTTCACACCACCTGTGACTGAGGTCTGTACAAATGACAGTTGTTTCTTTAAGTAATCTTGATCAACCTCCTTATCGTTGTTTACTCTTTCAAAGAATTTTTCCTCTGAGGATTCGAACTTCGGTTTGGCCGACTTGCTTCTACATTGTACCACACTGCATGCCTTACAAACGCTCACAGAGTTGACGACGCTTTTATAAGACATAAGCTGCACATTTTGGGCGCACCATACACTTCGCAGTAACATGCTTCGCACAACAGTTCTGAAATCAAGGTTCTCTCAATTAGACAAATTACTATTTTGAGCCCAAAATCAAAGTTGTTGTTGTTAGCCCGATATTTGGGGCACATCGCGTATGAGTACGCATTAGCTTTAGAAGCGTTTTAAAATTCTTGTTTACAAAAATACTAAGCTGGTTAAAATCGTTTATTTTCAGAAAAAACTTGCTGGAGTTCCTTTTTAAATGTCTGTGATGTATGGGCGTAGTTTTTAGTTTTTGGGGTAAAAACAATTAGCTTAAAGGCACGTAAATTTTCCAATCTCAAGCTCATCTGTTTTTTTATTATTTAAGTTGGGATTCGATTCTGTTCGAGCTCACTGTATCAATTTTAGACAGGCGAAGCTGAGCTTCACGAATTCGAGACAAAAAATACACCAGTGTTCACACATACATGTTGAAATCCAGAATTCGGTAACTGAAGATTTAGTTTTAGCGACATATTTATGATTTTCGAAATTTCATATTTGAGAAGATTTTGTTCAGAGAAAAAACGAATAATACACAAAACTCATTGCAAGCTAACAGACAAAAAAACTTCAGACAAAATCAAAAGTGTTGAAAAACCACAATTACAAAAATTTTGTATTTTTGTCTCGAATGATGGTCTATTTGAGAAAAATACAATCGGCGGCTAAAAAGAAGAATCATTCAGAAATATTAATCGACCGGCAACTGAGCCAGCAAAACTTGGGTTAAATACCGTTGAGCCAAAAACAAAATTGTTACCATGAAAATCTTTGAGCTAAAAAGTCTGAAATTCTCAGAATTTTATCCTTCCGTTTCAGGAGGGTGGTCATAAAAATATTTTTTACTTTTTATCAAACTTCAAGCGAAATTGGAACACTACAACGATGAAACATGCCGAAACCAGGGCTAGTAAAATAACAAATAACAAGAAAAAAATAAAAATCTGGCCGAACTTGAACCTAGGACCCTTACCGTCCCAGCCGTAGTCGTTGCCTCTAAGCAAAGTGTGCCGGAAAAGCCAAGAAAATTGATTTTATAAATCAAGCTATCAAATGATTTAGTTAAACAAGGTATTAACCCGAGAAAACGTATAATTATTCCGGTTTGATAACACTTGCTAATCACAAACGTAATGATGTCAAATCACAGTTTGAATGAAACCAAAACTAATTGGATCTGTCCCAGATACAATCTTACACAAAATTTTGACAATAATTTATTAAAGTCTAAAGCTTCGCGAGTTTTTCTTTTTACACTCAATGAGCAGTTTCAAAGAAGTTTATATGATTGGAAAAAATAAAAAGCGTTATTTACGATACTGACGTCTTCGATTTGAGCGATACTCACGCTACGGTACTTCAAACCAAACATTATTTGTACAGCTTGTAGCATTAAAATTTGGAAAACTTCACATTTTTGGCCCAATCAGCTCATCTTCAAACTCGTTTTACATGAAACTGGATAAGTACAGAATATAGTCAATGCGCAGCAACTTCAAGGCTTTCAATCTCTCTGCGAAAGAGCTCGTATAGTCACAAAGAACGTAACTGTTAGCAATTAGTTGAGGATGTTCTAATAGTTGCATATCGCCTTTGTTCGTAAACCAGACTTGATATCCCTTTGACCATAACAAAAACATGGATATCCGGTTACTGTGCAAGTAGCACAGAATGTTCCGACCATAGTCTTGAAAAATACAAAAGTCTTTTTCAAATTAGTGTGGTTTTTTCTTGGTGGTGTGATAAAAAAAATCTGAACGAAAAAGAAATTAGGCAAATGATAGAAATTAGGCAAATGCGACAGTCATAATCAAATAGGTCAATTATGTAACATTTTTTAGAACCTATTGAAAACCTGCACGCTCACCTTATTAGCTCTAAAAAATCAAAAATTTCAAACCTTTTTCAGAATCACGACTGAAAAGGTTTTTGTATGACATTAATTGAGGTACCTGATTTTGCATGGAAAACAAAAAGAAAAAACTTAAACACAGCCGAATCCGAATACAAAGTTCCACAACCTTTTTCAAATGGTCGGAAAAATAAGTTTGCTCATAGTAATCTAGTGAAGCTCTAGACATTTATAAAATTATATAAAAGTCGGCCCCAGATTTTCCTTTTTTTGAACAGGTTTTTTACAGTAAGGGGTGTAACCCGTTTTAGGGGAACCGGGCAGAACTGGAGTGGACATTTTTTTGTACGCAGAAGCAGAAAACTCAAATACTCACCCTGTTATGCGGATAAGTTGAGCCATTTTGTTTTTTAGCAGGGTTGCCCCACAAGTCGTCAACTTTTATGGTGGTTTGGCTTCAATGGACTATTAAAGAGGCGGTGTATGTCATGTGGAATAGCGTTACAGTTTCGACTTTAGTTTTCGGTTCTTGTAATTCAACTTCGGTAGATAGCTACCCAATTGGGTGCTATATCAGAGTTGAGCATGAGTGAGCATGAACTTCTGAGAAAGCTATTTCTTCTGAAGCTATTCCCGGAGTTAGAGAACGCATCAGTTTGTCATGTTTGGTAGCGCAATTTTTCTGTATATTGAAACACAGAGGCGAAGCTGAGCATCGCACCACTTGCGATACAACAAGTATAGGGTTTAAACATCAAGAGACTTAAGACATATCAAAGACTTCGAACGTTGTTATCGTGGAAGAAATAACTCGAAAAACAAAAAAAAATGAAAATCAAGTTCTTTATGATTAAATATATTTAATTTTTTGAAAGGGTTCCAAGTGGCGTTAAACTTTGAGCGTTCAAAAACTTAAGACTAGGGCCAAAGAACTTATAAACAAAATCAGAAATTTGTAGAAACAAAAAATTAGGCAAATAAGCCGACAGAATTAAAGCCAAAAACCAATTACCTGAAAATCAACTTAAATTGTTTGGCCCAATATCCACAAAAGACATTAATGTACTGAAATCAAGGTATTATAGACAATTGGCAAACTGAACCAAGAGCTTAATCGAAAGACGAAAAAATCATAAAATCGATGCTGAAGCGTAATATCGATGTTTTTATCGCTATATAAACAACCAGATCTATCAAACTGAATGAAGATACTTTTGAAAAAACATGCCCGGACAAAAGAGTGCAAAATTAGCATCTGGACAAAGCTTACCAAGTGGTAACAAAACAGAAAAAACCTCAGCAAATACCTCCTTACCCCTCAAAACACATACGCACAAAAAGTTTTTCGGTCATCATACGACGCAATAAGAGGCGTCTAGGTCAACAAAAAAGCCGAAATCGATTAAACCGAAAAAAGACAAAAAAACGAAGTTTCAACAAATCGAGTTGGTAAAATTACAACCAATGTAAAAATTTCGAATTGGCCAAACCTTTTTAACGCGACTTGTTACTGATTTGGTGTGCTGAGATCAACTTCAATACATTTTTGACGCTGCTACATTATTTTTTGGCGTGTGTTGGTTTGGTAAGTCTCGACATTGATTATGTAGTGGTTATACCGTTGTGAATGATGACAATCAGCTAGAAATTGTTTACCTAACAATGAACTTAATTTTTTGACCGACAGTATTTCGCGCAGTTTTGAATTAAAAACAGAACAACACATTAGGACACGGAGAAAACTTTCTGAACTTTATTGTAATTTAAATCACGGCCGAAAATCGTCAAAATGATACCAGTTTCGATGTCTACGAGTTATTTGAAGTGCTTGCTTTTTGTGATAAACCATACTCTAAGCCAAGGTTCCTAAGCCATACACCAAAATATTCATATATTTGTTCGATCTTTCGAATTCAGCAAACTAATGTAAGTAAAAAAAAACTGTTCCTTAAACTTCAGCAATTTTTCAGCGTAAAATGAATTTTGTAGACATACATTACGTGTAGACATTCATCAGTCTTTTCGGATGATATCAACATCAAAAATGCCCAAAATACACACGGCAGGCAGTTGAAAAAATTGGACTGAAGAATTTTTCGCTTTTCGGACAGTTTACTAGACCAAGCTGCAATATCTTACGGCTCTTACTTTTCGAGAAAAATATGATAAACATTTCGAGATAAAAAGCCGAACTCGAGATCAAAATATACAATAATTCAATTCTGCTCACACCTAAGCGAAGTTAAGCTTCGCATAACTTCGATACTACGCAATCGCAGCATTGCAAGATAGCAACTAGCAAATGAGATTAGCTTTCCCGAAAGAAATGAAAATTCAATTTCAGTAAAGCAGTCGAGAAAGACAACTTCCAACATTTATTATGCTTTTGAAATCAGCAAGCGGCCCCTAAGCCGACAATAAAGAAGTAGCCCATTGAGCCGAAAACAAAAAATGCCATAAATATTTGTTGTACCAATGAAAAGATTTGAACATTTAAGTTTTGCTAAGCCAAAATGCACTTCGCAAACACAAGCAAAAAAAGGAAAAAAAATCTCTCAAAAGCATAAAGAAAATAGAATAACGAAAGAGAACAGGTAAAAATAAGCATGGGCGAATAAAATTTGCTATTAGCCGGAATCAATTGCCCTTTAGGGAATCAAACTTCCACCTTGGAGACTAGGAGTATCTTCGCATCTGCGCTGCAATTGCTCGAAAAGTTGATAGCACCAGCTACCAATAAAGCAGCAACAGTAACTACTATATTGACCAGGCTATCACCAACCACCAAATAACACTCAAACTAATTCAATGTGACAGATATAAACCTCCAAGCTGTTGATTAGGATTCTCATGTCCTGGCGTCTGCGCCACGATTGCTAGAAAAAATAGGAGCCCAGCTGAAGCTGGTAAAGTCAGTTTGATAAAACTCAAGAAACTGTGAAGTGTATGTCAAAAGCAACACATGCGACTAGTAATGCGTAATTTTTCAAAATGTGTCAAAGTCAAAAATTGGACATTAACAAAGTCCATAAACAAATTTTCGGAATTAGCACGGTCGCTTTTGAGAAATTGGACGTAAAAAAGTATCAAAACATCAAAAATTCTTTAATAAAAAATTCTTTAGTCCAAAGCAAAATTCTCGCCAAAATTATGAGAATTTGATTATGCGGGTGGTACCACTAGATCTTGATATTAGATTGAACCCTTATTCACAGACTTAATCATGACGTAAACCGAAAAAATCATAACGTTTCGAAAACGAACAAACTTTGAAAAAGAAATGGACTTCAAAGTCAATTATTGCTCTTCTATATGCATTAGGGCAGATCCCCTGTGCAGAGAACAATCTCAGTGCCCATTCATTTGATTGAACCTTTCGACTGAATCTCTGTTTTGGCAGTTGTCGGGAAAGTAGAAAAATTTCGGAAAAACGGTCTAAATTTCTAAGATTTTTTCTGAACTTAATTTATTTTCCAAAAAAAAGGGCGTAGCTGCTCAAGCTGACTAAGTTGCTGCTTCACTTTCCTTCGATTGATACCTTTATGCCTAATTTGGCAGGGTAGTTTTAAAGAAAAATAAAATTTAAAAAAAACGGTAAGAACTTCAAAATGATACAATTTATATTGCTATAAGATTTTTCTACATAAATTGTATCACACAGGGAGGATTCCAAATAGCGGCTCTTATGATTGAAACCTTGATCTCTAATATTTGGCGGAGCATTTTTTGAGAATGAGTAAAAATTTAAAATTTGGACATTTTGTGAGACCATAACTCATTGTCTGTAAAATCAAAGGCGTAGCAGCTTATGCAAAAATCTCCAGGACATGTTCTTTTGGTTGAACACTTCACCTCAGATTTTACCAGTAATTTTCGAAAGAAAAAATCTCAAAAGGGGTAAAAAGTTCCCCTACTGAAATTTTCGAAGGTCTTCGGGCAAGAAAAAAGAGACTAGCAGAATATGCGGCACACAGGGTGTTTCCATCACTAAAGGTATTTGCATCGGTCATGCAGGCTTTTTGCATTGCTATTTCTACCATTTGTGTAAAATTAAAGGTGCCACAGAATAAGCACCAATAAATGCGCCTTGCGTTGGAAACAAAAAAACTAGCATCGTAGTATTACACAACGCTTCGCATGTGTAAAAACTAAACTTTTACAAGAATGAGCTAAATTTTTTATGGGAACAATCAATTTTACCCTTAAAAGGCACAGAATAAGTTGAAAAAGCCGATTAAAGAAACCAAAGTTAATTAGGTCGACTTAAGTTTTGGGGCGGAAAACAACCAACAGATAGGAAAAAAACTAGGGAAAAAACAGACTTAACTTTTGAACTTCAAGGAAAAATATATGCCCCTGAAGCGCTTCCAATTAATATTTTAAGATAAATGAAATAAGATAAATTTTAAGATAAATAAATAACTTAAAACGATCAGTTACACTTTAGCTGCTCGATAGTGGAGTTTGCTTTCCTTTTACAAAGAGGCGAAGTTGCATTTCGTATACACAAGCAAACATATGACCGATAATATTACTGGGAAAAACTGAATGAGTAAAACTTAGTGTCTACAAAATTTCATAATTGACGCACGCAAATTATGAGTCTACATAATTGCTAAGTGACGCAAGCCAATTATGACTCATAAAGTGTACCAGTCAATTTGAAAAAAAAGGAACTTACCAACTAACATGCCTCAATTTATAGAGCGGACGCATTTTCATTAGAACACGAAAAAGTTCATTAAAAACAACCGACCCTGTCCAGGTTCGATCCCTCTTATTTTGTTTGGGTCTCCTTCCCTACTTCTACGCTACCGATCCATGATACCTTGAAGCTAAAGTGCTATTTGTAATATAATAGTCTGTGTTCATATCCTTAGCATTGGCTGTACTTAATAGCTAGATCAAAATGAACACTTTCAAAATAAACACACTTTGTCGCAACAATTGCGTCGCAACAATTTTTGCGACTTAGGTTGGGAAAAAAGTTCATACGATAACAGAAGCTTTGCTTGTGTTGAAACAAAGCAAATGGACTGAACTTTAGAAATCAAAAGAAAAACCGCAAAAAGGTAACTTTGAGTCTGAACAAATTTTGACTTTTCCTGAAAGAAACGCAAAAACAAAATTATCATGACCTATATAAGAGTCTGAACTACGTTCATCGACTCCAAAAAGCAAATTTCGAATAGGGCAGATATTTAAAATGCTAACATGCACAAAATTTGTCGTTAGGGTTAATTGGTTAACAGAGAGTTCCAGGAAAAGTCCAGATGAGCCCTGTGAATAAATTTATGTACGGGAAAAAGTCTAGTACCCGATTTCAAGGGTTAACATCAAACCGAAAATCATCACGACCTATATAAGTCTTCACAACGTTCATTGATTCCATACCAATTTTTGGGCTAGGAAATTTATAAATTACAAGAGTAAATCAACATACTCTCAATTACAATGAAAATTGGTTACAGTTCAGTAAAAACCGTCATGTGCTAACTAAGCCGACAGTTATTTTTCCATGAAAAAAAAATCAATTTCATACATACAGACCTTAGGGTGCAAAAGCAACTGCGTTACCTCTAGACCAAGAGGAAAGATGTTTATCACAAAAAATTAGGCACTTATACGTTGCATCTTTTCCACTCTTGTTATAAGATGGTATAACTCGAGCATTAGTTGGAAGATACTTTAAGATACTTTAACTGTTCGAGAAATGTTGACGCGCTAAATTTAAAAAAAAAAACAGAGCTTCCAATAAAATTTCATTTCTAGCTTTTCCAATTATGAACTTTTCTTCAAAAACATTACCCACCTAGACTTTCGACGCAGCAGGATATGTGAAGCAAAAACTACGCTTTTAGTTGACGAATGTACCCATTTGCCCGCTACATAATAATCTTGATTAGAACTACTTCACAAAAGAACAATGAATTATTCAGTTGAACATAAAAACATCATATCATCACAAGTATATTTTAGAGAATCGAAAACAAATAGCATTTGACAGTTTGAAGAGAAACATAAAAAGAAACGCGAATAAATATGTCGCCATGACCGTCTATGCAACAAAATAGCTTATCGACCGCGTCCTCCTCGTCCTCTTCCACCTCGAGGTCCACCTCTTCCTCGCGCGCCCCGTCCTCTTCCGCCACGGCCAGGCGGTCCACCTTGAAAATCAAATTTGTGATTTTTTGAAGAAAATTCTGATGGTACAAAAAATTGGCCAAACAACCATTATACTAAGTGTAACCATTATTGAAAATTTGAACTTCTGCCTAAAATCTGATAACAAACCTCGTGAACTTCTCATGCCGCGCCCTCTGCCTTTAGGTGCATCGTCTACAAGTAAGGTATCGAGAGGCAGACTATCTGGGAGTATGTAATGTCTGATGTTATTGCCTCGAATCGATAAAGTGTCCATTATAATTGGCTCCTGCTTGTTCTTCAGAGTTAGCCTCACGTTGCGCAGATGTGTGTTCATGGTCATGTCTACTCCTGTTACTGTTCCCTGGACTTGTGACCCGTTTTTCAGCTCTATTGTTACTGTTTCGTGATTCAGCTTCATCAAAAACCTAAACAAACTTACCATAATATTATTTCATTCGCTATAAAGTTTCATTTTTCAATTCGAACGTAAATAATGACCAATTTAAATAAAAAAACCTCATTTTCCATTTTAGCTTAATGATGCTGACTGCAAAACACGCAGTTTTAATTTACTTTGATTTCAAGAATTTTCGAGGGTGACGAAGATACCAATTTATTATGGTATGAGATGAAGCAAGGTGCAGCAACAAAGACACAATGCAGAAACAAAAACACTCACCTGACAAGTTTCATTTTGGTAGACAAACCGACACCCAAATTAATCTGAAAAAAGCGGAACTACTACTGCTACTACTACAAAGAGAATTATACCCTCGAAGAATTTTTTTAAAAACTAAACTACAAAAGAGGCCCTTCCGTTTAGTTACGGTAAGTGCATAAGCTGGATAGGACCACAACAGCGTTATAAAAATGCATTAATATCAGCAAACTGTATCATTTTATCAATGAAGTCATATATCAGCATTAAATGCATAGTCGTAATGTTAATTTATCTCAGCCGTCCTTCCTCTACAATAGCGCTAATTTAGTTGTCGAAAAATTGAACTTCGCGCAGCGATCTGCACCCCCTTATACAAAGTATGGAGCTTCTCAGGAGCACGAAGCTTATTTTAGTTCTTATGTAGTTTATCGATTCTGGTTGGTAGCTTTCCTGTCTTCTTTCACTTAGTTTTTCGGCTAATCGCTGCATCGTCCGCGTGGCTGTTGGAGCAGCGCCACCGGTGCATCCAAAAATTTGCGGGCAGAAGCTACTCTGCTCTACGTTTAAAATTCTTTGCTGATATTTGGAGTTCTTCAGCGTTTCGTGATATTTGTATGCGATGTTTTGGCATGGGGGTTGAAAATTCCCTTGAAGAATAAAAAAGCAAAAAAGAGCGAAAAAGATAGGACGGTATTTTTTAAGCAGATCGGTCTTATAGCAGATTCAAAATAATTAACAAGCCAGAAGACAAACATCAAATGCGGCATAGGCAAGAAGAACCCGCTGTTTCCGCTTCGCTTAAATTCGGCACGAGATTTATTAGGCATTAAATCAGTTTATGTCACAAAACTGGCTGTTTTGATTAGATTTTATCGAACAAAAAATGATATATTTGTTTTTTTTTGGGAAGCACTACCGCCTATTACTTCGGTCAATCAGTTGCGTCACTTAAAACTCCTTCTACTGAGCTGCCAATCAAATTCTGTTGAAACCTTCAACAAAAATTTCAACACAGAGGCGAAGCAAAGCTTCGCAACGTCATACCACACGAACATAGCATTGCAAAGGTCACGTAGCAAACATTAGTCAAGTCATAGAGTAGGCACGTCGTAAGCCAACCAGAATCGATAAAAAAAAAACAGAGCATGTTAGCTTTCTTATCTCGATTCTGATCGGCTTACGATAGGCTTTCCAAATGATTCCAACCGACTTCTATCTTGCGTGGCAGGATGCTATATTGAAGGCTGTTCAGTCCTGTATTTGCTTGAAACGCAGGAAGAAATCTAACTTACCATTTCATTTTTCAAGTCACTCAGTTTATTTCAGTTAAAATGTTTATAATGAGAACGCGTAACATGGCTAAAATTTTATTTGTTTTACTCCTCAAAGTTATCTTGAAACGCAGGAAAAAATCTGACTTACCATTTCATTTTTCAAATCACTCAGTTCATTTCAGTTAAAAAGTTTATACTGAGAACGCGTAACATGGCTAAAATTTTATTTGTTTTACTCCTCAAAATTATCAGGAGTTCAGCGCGGTTAAAACAATTTAATCGAAAGACAAAATTACGTTGTTATCCTCTTTTCATTCACTAAATACCAATGTGTAACATTCGCCCGGAAGTAAATACGACTGGCTAGCGTGTAAACACAGCTTCACATTCTTTAACTGTCTCTACCAACGCCAGTACAATGTGTGGTCCATTAACATCGGGTCGACAAAACGCTATTGGCCAATCCGCGCAAATTAACATAGTTACATGCAAAAAGAGTGAGTTTATGGCTGGGTCTCCCCGGACCATGAGTATCCCCAGACCACGATGTCACTACTAAAAACAGGGCTACTACTTATTATCATATTACGATTGTTTCTGTTCAGTAGATAAAAATCATAATATCCATCGGATAGGGAACAACCCTTTCCCTCAAAACTTATCGTACTAGAAAAATTGAGCTTGATGTTGACTTAACAATTGATTATTCTAGGAAGCTAAAATTGCTTAAAAAAACTTCAGTTTGCGGTCTTTCCCCGAGACTCTTCCGGATTCCTGAATCCGGTCAAAGAGGTCTTCTTGAAGATCAGGAGGGGTATCAAAAACCTCCCAATAGCACACCTGATTCTCGGAAATTGCCCCGTAAGGATTGTAGCTGCACAGTTGTTATAATTCTGAATGCTCTTCCGCTAACATTTTCGACTATAATTTCTGTCCTCTCACTCGTTAGCCGCACGTCTGTATTATATCTTAGAATACATCCCTTATCGCTTTACAGAGAGATGCAAGATATTCTTCTTTTCAGTAAAATTATTCAAGGAAAGTATAAGGTTTTATGGAGAGAGGCATCAACGAACAGCTCAAACAAACGTTCGAGCAAGAAGAATCGTTTGTACTTCAAAAAATTCGATTATCCTCCAATAAACGAAACTTCTGGCATCGAGTTAGTCTCCTACTTAAACGAATTGGCAGCCAAGTGAACATTTCTGGAGGAAGTGTCCAGTAAGAATTATCAGACTTTCACTGGAACAACTTTATGTCTTTAAAATTGATTGGTCAAAAAATTTTTAAAGCTTTTTCAGATATTTTTGTCATTTTCAGACATATTTGTCATGTTTCAGTTTGATGATGCACAAAATGTACAAAACGGTTTGAATTTTTTTAAAAAGATTTTTATTAGATTTTTTGTTAATTTCTATTCCTTTATAGCGATAAGCTATAAGCAAACTGTTCTAATCCTTCAAAAAATCAGTCATTAATTCGACCTTTTTCTTTTTTCTTTTACCATTTGTATAGAGTTTTAATACCGCTTCTTGTTCATTATGTCAATAGTGTTTGTACTAAAACTGCGATGATTGTAGCTGCCAGCTCCCTTTCGTACAACCTGAGAGATCTTGAGTGAGAGGAACGGAGAGAGACGGAGCAGAAGGTCCACGCAGTCCCCGGCCTTTCTTCGATCCTAAATACCTTGAACAGGGTGAAGAATTTGCGAGTATTGTAAAAACAACAACCTGTGGCCAGTAAGCAGATTATCCTCTGGCACGATGTGCTGAAAAGCAGCATATCATCCCATCGCACTAACAACAATACGCGCTGCCCACTTGATCAACTACTGACGTATCTACAATCGAAGCGAAAACAAATAAGTCCCATTGTCTACTGCAGGAGAGCGCTTACTCACGATATTCTGGAGCATCTGCAAAAGACATAGATAATCGTCATAAAGACAACGGGAACCTAATTTCTAGAAGCAAGAGACAAAATCCTGCGGTCCTCAGAGAGTATCTTCAACTGCACCAGTCAAGCAAACTAGAATTGAAGCCGCTACGGGTGGTGCTGTCCCATCGAGAAGAAATGCCAGGCGTTTTCTCAAGGATACGGGCAAAGACCAAGAAACAATCGCTGCCACACCGCCGCAAAGGCGTGGAGGGCAGAGGTGTTGGCTGGAGACCTTCAGCTGGAACTGAACGACCAGTAAGGGGTAAAATTTTGTTTGGGCTGTTTTTCTTTATTGATTGCCATATGAGCATAGCCAGCGAGGAAGAACTGACCGCAATTTTGCTGCTACCACCATTCCTTAGACTGGTCCTGAAAATAAAACTCACCTGGAAATCAAGTTTTTGAGCAAACTTTTTTACTATCACTCTCTTCCGCTAACATTTTCGACTATAATTTCTGTCCTCTCACTCGTTAGCCGCACGTCTGTATTATATCTTAGAATACTTCCTTTATCGCTTTAGAGAAAGATGCAAGATATTCTTCTATTCAGTAAAATTATTCAAGGAAAGTATAAGGTTTTATGGAGAGAGGCATCAACGATCAGCTCAAACAAACGTTCGAGCAAAAAGAATCGTTCATATTTCAAAAAATTCGATTATCCTCCAATAAACGAAACTTCTGGCACCGAGTTAGTCTCCTATATAAACGAATTGGCAGCCAAGTGAACATTTCTGGAGCAAGTGTCCAGAAAGAATTATCAGACTTTCACTGGAACTACTTCAGGTCTTTAAATTTGATTGGTCAAAAAAATTTTGAAGCTTTTTCAGATATTTTTGTCATTTTCAGACATATTTGTCATGTTTCAGTTTGATGATTTACAAAATGTGCAAAACCGTGGGCAGAGGTGTTGGCTGGGGACCATCAGCTGGAGCTGAACGACCAGTAAGGGGTAAAATTTTGTTTGGGCTGTTTTTCTTTATGGATTGCCATATGAGCTTAAGTGCTCATAGCCTGCGAGGAGGAACTGACCGCAGTTTTGCTGCTACCACCATTCCTTAGACTGGTCCTGAAAATAAAAATCACCTGGAAATCAAGATTTTGGGCAAACTTTCTTACTATCACTCAATGAGTTCAATTTAGGGTACCAGGCAAACTTGCTTTTTATCACTTAATGGGTTTAAATTTCTCATCCTATAAATCGCTACTACAGCCATCTATCTTGTAATTTCACTTTTCTGTCTAAAAAAACTGGTATCTCATTCTCATCAGTTATTATCTTATTTACTGGTCGCTTAACCAACTTCCTGTCCGGGTTCTAGATCCTTATTAGTCCATTATTAAGGTCAATTGTGACGTTGAAACACGTGATGAAGTCACGCCCCAAGATGAACTGATCCAAGTCGTCCAGGTTCTACACCACGAAAAAAACTCATCCAGAGGCTCCGTCCTCCCATATGGAAATCTGTTAATGGAGTTCTCCCGACCACATAGATGGCTCCGCGGCAGCCAATCTTAAAATCATGGGTATCAAGTCCTCCCTGATGAAAACCATCCTTTCCCATGTCTTAATCGGCATTACACTGACTACTGCTCCTGTGTCTAGGAGTCCTGTTACTCCGATATTCTTTCCATCGGGGTCTAGCAGATGTGCAACCACATCTGATTCGTATCCAATGTGTACATCATCTTGTATGGTGTCATGACCCGTTCTACGAACTACCGCTCTACACGATCAAAAAATATCTGTCCTGTCTGGCCATTGTCTGTCATGAGGTAGGTCTTGGTTTATTTATTTGTTCAATCCACGAGCATCACTTGATATGGCCCGTGAACTTTCATTGTGTCGAGTGCC